ACAGATGCAAGTCCCCCAGATGCCATCACCAGTGACCAGGCATCCTCATCACAGCCCATCTCAGACCCACAGCGGTGGGTCAGTCACATCATTACCTGCTCCCAGTCCTCTCAGTAATCCCTAGATTACAGAGTCCCCAGGCACATCTATTCTCTCATTAATCTCTGGATTAAAGTATCCCCAAATCGGCTTTGGCGCAGTGCACTGCAAACAGCTGAGTTACGCTTTGCTCCTGCAGTGATCCTGGATTAGGCAGAAGGAGACATGTCCGTGGGTCCTTCCCACCCAGTGGGAGCACAGGCTCAGGGAAAGCAAGGGAGTTCTAAATACAGTATGTGTATAAATAAAAAGCAGAAAGGATAGGATTGTGTTTCGTAATCAAAGTACTTATCTGATAAAACAACTTCATGGAGGTTCCTGGATTAATTAAATCTCAATCCAGATGATCTCCAAACAGCAACTCACATCATTTGCGACAACAGAAATACCCAACAGCTCTTGCCCTAACCCAGCACTGGGAAACGCCTCACTTGGTGCTTTCCTGGGGACTACACACAGATTTTTAAAAAAGCCACCTCTGTACCACAGAGAGCTTGAGACAAACTGCCCTGGCATCAGGGCCCTTTCCTGCAGCAGGATGGCAGGGCAGGGATACAGACAGGAATGACAGAGAGGCAAGGGGGTTACAGAGGGAATAACAAGATTAAACCAGGAAAAGGAAATGAAGGCTTAGTGGTAGATTTCTCAACTGCAAAACCTATTCATTTTGGGAAACACTCCCCCAGGAGATTAAAGATTTGCCAGCGCATCAGCCAGTGCCTGGGGAAAGGGTGCAGGGAGCAGCCATGGGCGGCCAGGAGTGGCTGCAGTGTGTCATGACCATCCCGCCCAGTGGGCATGGCATATCCCTGAGGCCACACAGCCCCAGAAGGGTCAGCCCCATGCCTGCAGGGGAGAAGGTCCCTTGGCAGAGCCATCAGAAATCAGGAATGTCCCTCTGGAGGGGCCAGGGACCCAGCTGGCTGCAGAGCAGCCCCACATCATGGCCATAGGTACTCCCAAGGGTCCTCCTCCAACAGCACAACCACCTGGCCATGGCCACCTTCCCACACAGCCCAGGCGAGGCTGCTGTTCCTCCTCCCAGCGTCATGCTGGGAATTGTGGGTGCCAGGGCTGTGCCACACCTCTGTCATCCACAGCCATTGATGAGTCTGAGGCATTGACACCGTGTCAAAAGCCAAAGCACACACCCCAAAATGCAGTCCCCCAAATGCACACCCCACCCAAAGACTCCTGTCAGTGCCTTCCCAGAGCAGGTCCCCAGCGTGGGGGGCGCAGGGCACCGATCACGTCCTGGAACAGTTCCTTCTGTTGCATCATGCCAGCAAGAAGGGATATGTCTCTGTTTCCATGTGAAAGGGTGACTCTGCCATGGCCATTGGGGGGTCAAGGACCCCATGGGGGGTTAAGGTCTGAGGGTTTTTCACATGGAGACCAGGACATCTGACAGCATCAGGGCAGGGACAGAGCTGGATAGGGGAATCCTGTCCCAACAGCAAGGTGCCCAAAGGGAGACATGCAGGGCTGTGGTCCCGGCCACACTCACAGGTGGGGGACAGGACAGGCAGTGCCAGCATGACCTTGGCCCACCCAGCCCTGCCACCAGAGCTCCCCACCCCAGGGAGAGACCCACAGCCCTCGGGCCAGCCTGGTGCTCAGCATCCCTCCTCCATCAAGAGGACACCTGCAACAGGGCAGGTGTGCACAGACATGGAACACCAACATGAGGCGTTGTCCTACTGGGCTGAGCCATGACTGAGCTCCTGTCCCACCTAAATCCGCTGAGCACACAAGCTGGTCCCATGGCTGCTCCCTCAGGGCAGGGCTCATGGAAAGGGGTGTTCATGCCATTCCTCCCATTCCTCCCTCATTTGGAGGTATTTGTCCAACTGTGGACTCAGAGATGGCCAGGTGGATAGAACTGCTGCACAAAAAAGGTGACACCCACAGCCTGAAGCCTTCAGGAGACAGGCATTTTGGATCCAGCCGCTGAAATGGGCCAACTCGGGGCTGGGGGGAAAGGGGGAGGCGTAAAGGGCCCTTCTACATCTCCGGCAAGCATGTCTAAAAGTGGAAGCTACTCCAATGGTTGTTTGTATTCAAGTGTCTCAATTTGTCCTACTTTTGTCTGGGTGCTCAGCAGAATTGCCAATGAAGACAGATTTATGCAGCAGAACAAACCAAGCATATTTTCTGGACATTTTTCACATGAGATCTGCCGTTCCGGGGCAGTGCTCTGAGATCTGAGCCGGCATCGCCCTGGAACCCACTCACCCCGCTCCCTGCACCCGGCGAACCCCATGACATGGCCGGGGTTGTGCTCTGCACCTCAGCACCTCCACACTCCCTGGTGACCCGAGTCGAATTAGCACAAGGGCAGAGTTCCTTCTCGGCAGTACTTGGAGCCGCACAAGAACAAGGCATTCAAGTGTGCACTTGTGAAATACCATCCTCACCCCACATTTGCATGAAAATACAAGACCTATTTAAGTGACAACACCACTTCACTAAACCAAATTACATAACCTGCCTTGTTCTCTCAGCTGACACACCAGAGACACCTTCATTTCCAAAGCAAGTCTGCACCTGCTGCACAGCGTTTGGAAGGATCTTTTTCTTTTTTTAACCAGAAGACAGATTACCAGCCACAGCGTTTTAAGAATATGCTGCTTTCACATGTACAAAAAAATAAAACTGAATTACTTAATTATTTTTTTACCCACTAGCAAGGTCTACCATTTCAAAGTGCACTCAGCCTCCCTCTAGCAGAACCACTGCATGGAGACTCAGGGGTCCTACACAGCATGAGGTGAAGAGAAATTCATAGCTGATACACAGCCATTAAGCCCCTCCCGTACTTCCCCCCGCCCCGCCACCACAGCAGGGACCACCCCAGCCGAGTCGGTCACCAACTGCACAAACGCCTCTGGCTGTTTCGTTTCTACGGAGGGGGATTGCTATAGCTCACTAGTAGATGCACAAGGCTCTTCTGAAAATGCCAGCATACAGCCACAGATTACCAGACAGACTGAAACCTCACTGAAACCTCGGGTTGAAAAATCCCCAGACCTCCTGGTGTCACAGAATCACTGCGGGCTCATCTCAACCCTCCATCCCTCTCAACCAGGAAACCCAAGTTCTCAGCAGGTCACAACCAGGCAGCTACAGCCTATTTTTTTATTTACTGTCTGTTACAGCTGCCTTTTAGAATGCAGCAAACGGCAAACTCGTCCTTCCACGGCGCACAGCACATGGTGATGTGAGCCAGACGACTGCGAGCTCAGCCTCATCCTGGCCACACCACCCTCCTGGAAGCACGGGCTCACACCATCCCTCCCAGCAGAAACGTCCTGCCAGTGTGGCGTGGCCTCCACAGGTCCATCACAGTCCCACGGTGGGTCCACCCACCCCCTGGCCCCACGGTGTGAGACACCCAAGGGGAGGAGCAGAGCCACGGGTGCCCCGGGCATCACCTCCCCTGCCTCGGGGGGCTGTCACGCCGAGCACTCACGTTCCAGCTACAAATAAGCAACACGAACGATCATTTTCTCACCAGGTATCCAAAGCTTTCCATTACTAAACGAAGCCAAAGACTTCCCACTAGATAAACCCTCCTTTAGCCATGTGCTGGAGACATAAAATTCCCAAAGTCTGATTGCATGTTGGCTTCCTCTAAGCCTCAGGAGAACGACACAGTAAGGGAAAGCCTCTTTGGCTACTAATTAAGCTATGAATAAGCCTGTTCAGATCCTGCTATGGGGTCTGGTTTTTGAAGCCTCATGGAAGGGGTCAGCGCTACCGGGAGGGATGGGGGGTTCGGTTTTGCTTTACAGCAGCGTCACTTTCCTCCCGAAGCGAGGGAGCAAAGGGAGGTTGTGACAGAGCTGAAGTCGACAGCTCTTCGGCTGCCAGGGAGGACAGCAGAGGCGGCTGCAGCTCCCTCCCCATCCCTCCTTCACCCCTCACTGGTGGAGCTGCCTTTGTGGCGGCTGCGGCGTCATGTGCCGGGTGAGCTCACGTTCCGATGCCTGAACCGAACATGGCCACACCGTCTCTTCCACTCCCGAGCCATTATGGGAAACCACTTTCAAATGCACCATGAGCCTCACTGGGGCTGTGACATTATCCATGTCCAACAGCCTTGGCATCTACTCGCCTCTGCAACGCACCAGTCAGGATTCGCATTCCTTCCTGCAGCGGCTTGTAGGCAAAACAGCCCCGAGACAACTGTTCCATTCGGTGACGAGACCTGCCACTAGCGTTTGCCGTATTCCTGCACCTCACAGCGCGGCTCCAGCCACCTGCGGCACCGCGAACGCCCTCGGAGACTGAGAAAACCGATCTCGAACCGCGGCCGCCGCCCGCATCCCTCCGGCTTCCAGCGAGCCCCGCATCCCTCCGGCCCCGCGGGCTCCGCTCCAGCGGGAAGGGGTTGCGGAGGGGCCGGGACTCCCCTCGCTCCCGGAGCCGGAGGAGCCCGGCGAGGGCGCGGGGGCTCTCGGAGGGGCCCGGCGGGGCTGGGGGCTCGGCGGCCGGGCGGGAGCGCGGGGCTGCGGCCGCCCCGGGGCGGGAGACGGGGGCGGCTGCGCCCCGAGCGCTGCTGCGGACGGCTCTCGGAGCCCCGGCTCAGCCGGCCCCGCGCCCGCCGAGGGACCCGCCCGGCCCGGGGGAGCCCACCCGGCGGCACCCGGCGCTGCTGAGTCACCGGAGCGGCTCCGCCGCGCCCGCACCGACCCTCCGGAGCCGCCGCCGCGGGGCTGCCCGGCCCGGCCGGGGGCAGCGGTGCCGGTCCCGGGACAGCCGGGGCGCGGGGAGCCGCGGGGAGCCGCGGGGGAGGGAGCGGGGCGATGCGGGGCGATGCGGGCGGGGGCCGGGGCCGCTGCGGGGCGGCCTCACCTGCTGCAGGCGGGCCGGGGCCGGGGGCTGCGGGCCGGGCTCACCTTCCGTGGCATAGCTGTGGTCTCGCAGGAAACTGCTGCTGATCTTGCGGGTCTCAGCGTCCTCCTCCATTGACGGCGGGCAGGCGGGCGCGGGGCGTCAGCAGCCGCAGCCGCGGATCCATCATCCCCCCCCGCGCCCTGCTCCGCGGCGGCGGCCGCCAAATGCGGCGGGGGGGGCGCAGGGGCGGTGGTGCCCGGTGGCTCCTCCCATACGGCACCGACCGGCACCGCGCGGGCGGGCGGAGCGCGGCGCGGCTCAGCCCCGGACCCGGGGGACGCTCCTGCCCGGGGATGCTCCTGCCACGGGATGCTCCTGTCACGGGACGCTCCCTCCTGTCCGGGGACGCACTTGCACCGGGGACAGTCCTGCCCGGGGGATACTCCTGCCCTCGGACGCTCCCTTCTGCCCGGGGATGCTCCTTACTGCCCGGGGCGCCACTGCCCCTGGGAGAAGCTCCTCCAGCTCTCAGGCAGAAGGACCGCTGCTCCCTGACCCGCCTGCCCCAAACACAAGATTCCAGCCGCCAGATGACACTAGATCGTTTTTTGGCAGCACCACAGCATGTGAACTCCGGGTGACCCAGGACAGGGGATGCAGCAAGGGCCACGGGGGTGACCATGCCAGCAGTGCCAAGGTGTGTGCCCACGGGCACCTGGCCCAGGCTCACCCTGTCTCGGCTGTGGAAGGGGGCAGGGATGCTCAGTGACTTATGGCTGTGAAGATCAGTGTGGGTGGGGGGATTGGTGGCATCCAGGGAAAAGGATAAGCACAGGGGCCATGGGAGAAGGGAGGGCTCTCCTGGTCAAGGCATACCAGGGCTGTATTCTGGACATATCATCTGGTGCACGCCAAAGGGAAACAATTGTTCCTTGGGAGGATTTTGTGCCTTGGCATAGTCCAGGAAGAAGCCTTGGCACTGGCTGAGCCACTGGCAGACAGGGAGGAAACTCATAGGGAGCAAATTCCCTCAACTCCTGCACTTGAAGTTGGAGGTAAAACCCAACCTCAGTGTCAGGGCATGAGATGTCCCCAGCCAGGCAGCGACGTGCACACGGGGCAGCTGGGGGGGAACAGGCACAACACCACACTCTCACACCAGCACCCAAACCAACCCACAGTGTTCCCTCTGCCCCCCACTCTCCACTCCCCAAACAGCTGCTGAAGGGAAACATGCATGGACACAGCCTGGGGTCTGACCCAGGCCTCCACCCCAGAGCACACCCCTGCCCCACACTGCTGCCAAGACCCACCTCAGCACTGCCTGGGTTCACTCTGGCCAGGAACATCATCGGTGCTGAGCACTGGCTGTGCACATGGGCACAGGCCCTGTGGCACCTCTGCACTGTGTGCCCACCTGGCCAGCACCTCTCAAGCCCCCCACACCACGAAGCTGGGGTCAGCTGCAGGAACTGCAGAGCTCAGAGTGCCATGGCACAGGAGCTGCTTGACAGCCCAGGGCCACATCAGTGGGGAGCATTACTGTTCATGGAACTGGAGGATGCAGAGGGAATGGACAAAGACAGTGGATAACATTGTAAATACAGTGGTGCACTGCAGCTCAATTTCCTCTTACAACTGTAGTTCCACAACTAAAATCTCATTGGGAAGGTGCAAAATTTTGCAGCCTGTGTTACTATTCTGCTGAGATTACACTGACTCCTTGGGGCTGCTTATTTCAGGGGATGTGCAGGAGAGAGCATCTCTGAGTGAGAAGGCTCAAGGACTCCAGCACATCCAGTATGCAGGTGTTGTGGGCATCACCCTACACTGCTGCACCACCACACCCCCCCCCCACCACAGCCCCCACACCATAGCACTGCCACACGCCTTTTGGAGGAGTGTGTGGATCCTCTCAGATGAGAGGCAAGAGAGAGGGAAAGCTCATTCTACCCATGTCATGTCCTTATGAGGGAAAGGTGAATTCCCAGGCCCACAGCTGCCTGCCTCCCCGGGACGTTTTCTGACATGCTGTCACACGGAGGTTGATATAAGGCATTGTAAAATTGCACCTTGGAGAACTCTGGCAATTACTCATATGCATATGCAACTTCAGGATTTGTCAGTCAACCACAGCACATCATAGGCCACTCATTAATACAGGGATTACTGATGTGACAAGCCAGAAGCATTCATCAGACAGGCATGAGCCTGAAGTCTCCGTGCCCAAGCCTTTACTGAATTATGCTGGAATGTGAGTTACTTGCTATAATCACCAGACACATGTGTAAGTCAACCAAACACATTGTGTTTGAGGCTGAGGTTGCTCTCAGCTACAGGGGGTGAGAGCCACAGGTTACTCTGAATTCGCTCCCTGTGACAAGGCACAGGACCGGGCCGTGGTTTCACAGCACAGCACAGAGATGTGTTGACCAAAGCTCTCCTGCAGGCCAAAGAGAGCCACAGCATTAACACTGTGCTTGACAAATAACTTCTGTGCTGCTGACAGCTCCTCGTACATGCGACAGCACAGGGGACCAGACCTGAACATGACACCACAGGACTCAGAACTGCTGCTGGCTTTGGGCAAGTCAGCTGACACCTCTGTCTGTGGTCTCCTGTCTCCCAAGGGAGAGGAAAGGCATGGACCTCCCACAGGGAAAGAGAGAAGGAAAAGGAAGATTCAAACTATACCACAACAGTACCCCCAGGAAATGGGATTCCTCTGCCTACGAGGTGTGTTTGCCCACAGGTGTCCTGTAAGGGACAGGAGCAACTCCAGAAAAGAAAAATAAAGATGAATTTTGAGTAAGCAGTTGTTACCATATCACCTCCTCCCATCAGATCTCAAATGGTAAACCCCAGGCCAAAGGCAATGCCCAGGTGAGTAACAAGCCCCTGCAACACCCATGAATATCATAAACAGAACCAATGACCCCCTTTCCTTCCTTTTCAGCAGATTCTGTTTTCAGTGTATTTCCGTTTTAACAAGTGCCAAGTCCTTTCTCCTTTATTAACTAGAAAAATTATTCTCCCCATTGTGCATGAATTATAATTATGTATCATAAGTCCTGCAAAGTTTTTCAACACACGGTATCATTTAAACACATCCACAAGCCACCTGTTTGTTATGCAATGTGCATAGGAGCTGCATCATGAAATCCATTTATTCTCAGCTTTTTAAAATCCAGGAACGAGCCTTTACAATAACTAAAAGCATTAGCTGTCCTAAGCAGGAATCCATTTGCAGATTAAATTCGCCAAAGGTCAGCTTGTAGCTGTCACTGTTTTCCAAACCCCCAGGTGTCCATCATGTTCTGTACTTTGACATCTCCTGAAGAGCCAGGACACTTTCCACTCCAATGATTTTTGCTTCAATTAGAGGTTTAAGAGCTCCATGCTCAGGTTTCTGTGAGATCTAAACTGTGTGTGAAGAATAATTGAATCAAACCTCCGATTTTATGCTTGGCGCAGAACTTCCTTCACCTCATTTATTTTACCCTTCCATCCATGAGCACTAAATCTATTTTCCTAATTACTGCTCTGGGTTAGAACACTACCCTAATCTTTTAACCATTATATATAGGCAACAGAATTTCTTTTAAACCTGTAATAATTATTTTTGTTAGTTAACTGGTCATTAGCACAGTGCCATCAGCAGGGTGCCAGCTTGTTGGACAGTGCCAGAGGTCAGCCTGCATGGAGAAACACGGCTGACAGCCTGTGCCCACGGCGTAGGGGACAGGGCTGGCAGTGAAAGCCCTGGTGTCCTGTGCTCTGCCTGCTACGGGTATGTGGGCAGCACAGTGACCTTGGGCCATGGGCAGACACTGCTGCCCTGGCTCTGCCTCTTCCCGTGGCTGGAACGTCCCCCTGCTCCAGGGTAGGACAGGGAACCGCTCTCTGAAAGTGGTACATGCTGCCACCCTGCAGCATCTCAGATTTGTAGACTTATCAAACTATGGACCAACACAGGTGGTGGGCAGCTCCCTCTGCACTAACCAGGTCTGAGATGCTTTAACTGAAAGCCCATCTCTGTGTGGGAAAAGAAGCCAGGGCTGGTGTGACACTTCTCAGCATCTCGCACCAGAGCCAGCACCTGGTCTATGATCTGGGTGAAGGTCATGGCACACAATTAGTATTCTGAGAGGAAGAGCACTTAAAGCCCTTGTACAATTTCTCTCATCGTGTCCAGTTCCCAATGTGTTCCGAGCCCTTCAGCTTGCAGATTCCAGTAGACACAGCACTTAGGCTTCACAAATCTGAGAAGCTAATTATGCAGCAAAAATGCATAATTACACTCCTACTCTCCCACATGTAATCAGTGTCAGCCAGCAGGCTGGTGGCTGGCTGGCCCATATTCAAGGGACAACCCAAAAGGGAAAGGGCTGCGTCAGGACAGAGCCCCCCATGCTGCACACACTGCAGGGACCCAGAGCTTCTCACCATCCCCAGTGCTGAACACGTCTGACACCACAGGTGCAGTGTTCCCGGAATGGCCAGAGACATAGACAGCAGGTCAGGGACTCTGCTCTCCAGAAGACCTTCATATCTGGTGGATAAATATTACCCCAGCAGCAGAGCTGGGAACCCAGAGAGACCAATGCTCCTCACTTCCAGCCCAGGGAGCCTGGGGAAGGCTCAGGAAGGGCACCAGCTTGTGCCAGCCAACAAAGACCATTCCCATCCAGCCATGCAGGGTGGGTGAACCCACTCTAGATGAACACTTTCCTGGTGAATGCCTTGTGTGGGAGGACAGTCTTCTTCCCCCACAGACAGAGCACTGGGCTGCTGCATGGGAATATCTGCAACCCCCACCACACGTTGCCATCCTCACTGAGCCCCTGCACACTGCCCACTGCGCTCTGGAGCCCTGCCCTTGTGCTCCTGCAGCACAGCAAAAGAGCTGACTTCGCTGCACTAAGTCAGTTTGCTTCTCATGTTTTCTCCTGTAAATCACATAAGCAAGCTAAGGAAGCCATAACCCACATCCAGGGTGAAGTCCCAATCACAGGAACCTTAATTAGCATGACTTGAGGAAGACCAATAATTTACCAGATTAAACCAAGATCAAAAAAATTGGGAAGCCAGGTTGCATGCAGAGGGCAGGCTGAAGCCTTCTCCTTCACGAAAGACAGAGAACAAGGGTCAGGACCTCGGGGCAAAAAAGGGAAGAATCAGTTCATTGAATGCAAAGTAGGCAAAGACTTCTGCCTCCCAAAGG